CACAGGCAGAGGGAGAAGCAGGTGGCATGCACTGGGAGCCCGACGTGGGATTCGATCCTGGGTCTCCAGGATCGTGCCCTGGGCCAAAGGCAGGCGCCAAACTGCTGCGCCACCCAGGGATCCCTGATGTCTGCATTTTTTATGTTAATGTAGCCATTCCATATTTTTATTATTAATGTGTGTCTTATAGACAGCATATAATTGGTGCTATTTTATCCAGTCTGTTAATCTCTACATTCTAATTAGAGTGATTAGAGTATTTACTTTTACTATAAATATTGATTTGGTTGGTTTGGTTTAAATATACCCATCTTGTTACTTTTTTTCCATATGATTTTCTTTTGTTTTTTATTCTTTTTTAGAGAGGCAGAGTGGCAGGAGGGGTACAAGGAGAAGGAGAGTCTCAGGCAGGTTCCTTACTTAGCATGGATCCCGACTCAGGGCATGATCCCATAACCCTGAGATCATGACCTGTGAAGAAATCAGGAGTCAGCTCAACCACATGAACCACCCAGGCACCCCTCTATTTGCTTTTCCACTTGTCCTGGCTAAACTTTTCTCGACTTTAGATAAATTGAATAATTTAAAGCATTCCACTTTATCTCTGTTTTTGGCTTATTAACCCTACCTCTCTCTTTTTTTAATTGGTCATTTCAAGGATTTACAGTGGGCAGTTTTAACTTATAGTCTACCTTCCAATATTATTCCATACTGTGAATGATGTGTGAATCTTCTATCAGAATATCAGAATTTCTTTCCCCTCTTGCTCTTTTCTTTCTTTTTTATTTTTTAAAGATTTTATCTATTTATTCATGAGAGACTCTGAGAGAGAGGCAGAGACACAGGCAGAGGGAGAAGCAGGCTCCATGCAGGAAGCCCAACATGGGACTTGATCCCAGCATCCCGGGATCACTCCCTGAGCTGAAGGCAGACACTCAACCGCTGAGCCACCCAGGCATACCTCCCTTCTCTTTTGTGCTTTTGTTGCCATACATATATCAACTTTATATTTTTCTTATAAGCCCTACTATGTTATCTTTGCTTCAAATAGTCATATCTTTTTATTATTATTTAATTATGGTAATACATAATGTAAAATTTACCATTTGTTATTTTATTTATTTATTTAAAAGATGTTTATTTGAGAGAGCGAGAGCACGAACAAGTGGGGGTAAGGGCAGAGGGAGAGAGAGAAGCAGACTCCTGGCTGAGTGTGTAGCTCAACCAGGAGCTCAATCCCAGGACCTGGACTCCATGACCTAAGCCAAAGGCGGACTCTTAGCCAACTAGCCACCTAGGTACCCCAAAATTTGCCACTTTAAAAAAAATTATTTTAAATAGGCTCTTCTCCCAAAATGGGGCTTGAACTCATGATTCTGAGATCAAGAGTTATATGCTCTACCAACTGAGCCAGTCAGGCATCCCCCATCTTAACCATTTTTAATTGTATACTTGACTGGCATTGAGGACATTTGCATTATTGTGTTACCATCACCACTATCTATCCCCAGAACTCTTTTCATCTTGCAAAATTGAAGCTCTACCTATTAAAGCCCCCCATCCTCCTCTTTCCCCAGCCCCTGGCAACTACCATTTCACTTTCTATGAATTTGACTACTCTCGATACTTTACATAAGCAGAGTCATACATTATTTGTCATTGGCTCTTTTCATTTAGTGTAAGGTGCTTAAGATTCATCCATGTTAATTTCCTGTGGAATCATCATCCTGTTTTCCTTACTGGCTGTACCAGTTTACATTTCCACCAACGATGCACAGGGTTCCGATTTCTCTATTAATCAAATTTTAAAGCAATTTAAAAATAAATAAAAAGTTCTTATATTTACTCATATACTTATCTTGTGCTCTTCTGTCTTTCTTGTAGATTCTTGTTTCTATCTGATATCATTTTCTTTTTGCCCAAAGAATTTCCTTTACCATTTCTTGAAGTGACAAATTCTCTTTATTCCTATTTGTTTAAGTCTGTATTTTGCCATTATTTTTGAAGGATTTTCACTTTGGATATAATTCTATATTGATAGCCTTTTCTTGTTTAATACTTTAAATACATTGTCCCATTGTCCTCTGGCTTGTTCTTTGTTATTCTCCATAATGTTTCTTTGTCCTTTGATGGCTTTTAAGATTTTTTTCCCCAGTGGCTGGATGATATATCTTGCTGTGGTTTTTTTGTGTTTATCCTGTTGGGGATTTGTTGAGTTTCTTGGATTTATGGGCTTCTTGTGTTCATGAAATTCATAAAATTTTCAGCCATTATGTCTTAAATATTTTTTCTACTACATTCTCTTCTCTTTTTCTAGGACTCTAATTCGAAACATATATTAGACCACCTGATATTGTTTTAAAGGTCACTGAAACTGTTTCTTTATTTTCTTCCCCCCAATTTTTTTCTCTGTTCTTCAATTTGGATAGTGTCTGTTGCTTTTGTCGAAGTTACTGATCTTTTTTTTCTTTTTTGCAGTATGTAAATGCTTTTAAAAAATTTTTTTTTAAATTTTTTTTTTTTTAAGATTTTATTTCTTTATTCATGAGATACACAGAGAGAGGGAGAGAGGCAGATACACAGGCAGAAGGAGAAGCAGGCTCCATGCCGGGAACCCGACGTGGGACTCGATCCCGGGACTCCAGGATCACACCCTGGGCCGAAGGCAGGCGCTAAACCGCTGAGCCACCCAGGGATCCCCTTTTTTTTAAATTTTTATTTATTTATGATAGTCACACACACACACAGAGAGAGGCAGAGACTTAGGCAGAGGGAGAAGCAGGCTCCATGCACCGGGAGCCAGACGTGGGATTCGATCCCGGGTCTCCAGGATCACGCCCTGGGCCAAAGGCAGGCGCTAAACCGCTGCGCCACCCAGGGTTCCCACGTAAATGCTTTTAATCATATCTGGATAGTTTTTTTTTTTTTAATTTTGAAATTGTATTTTTCATTTCAAAGTTGCATTCAGTTATTTGTGCATATAAAATGTCTTCTCTTTCCCTAACAGTGTTCACGTAGATCTTTAAACCTTTGAACATGTTGGGCATAATTCAAAGGACTTTTAATGTCCTTTGCTAATTTTGTCAATTCTGTCATTTCTAGGTCTGTTTCTATTGAATGATTTCTTCCTTGGTTATTTGTGGCATTTCTCTGCTTTTTTGCATCTTTAGTGACCTTTAAAATTAAAAAAAAATTTTTTTAAAGATGTATTTATTTATTTGAGGGAGAGACAGAGAGACCACAAGTGGGGAGGAGGGACATAGAGAGAAGAGCAAACTCCATGCTGAGTAGGGAACCCAGGACCCTGGGATCATGAGCTGAGCTAAAGGCAGATGCTTAATGGATTGAGCCATGCAGGTGCCCCTAGTGACTTTTTAAAAAATGATTTTATTTATTTATTTATTTTAGAGAGAGAGAGGGAGAGAGCAAGCTCGAGTGGAGAACAGAGAGGGAAGGAAAGAAGATCCCAAGCATACTCCATGCTGAATGTGGAGCTCAACACGGAGCTCAGACTCATGACCCCAAGATCATGACTCAAGCCAAAACCAAGATGGATGCCCAACCGACTGAGCCACCCAGACACTTCACATGTTTAGTGACTTTTGATGGGGTACTGAACATTGTCAATGTGTAGATTAGATATGAGGATTTTTTAATCTTTTGGCTTATTTTTTCTGTTAGCAGTTACTTGTTTATCAGTTTGATCCTTTTAACTTTTTTTTTGTATAGATCTAAAGTTAAAGTGGCCCTTACTGCAAGGCTAATTTAACTGCTGAGGCCTTGCCCTATTGGTATCTCTACCAAAAGCTATGGTCTCTATACTTTGGTTGGTTGGAATGCAAATTTCTCTCGACTGTGTGTGAAACTTTAGAATTTCTCATTTTTTTGTGCCCTGGTCATTCTTTGCCCAATCTTTGGAGTTACACTTTACTTATGCTTTTCTTAGTATTCAACAAAAACTCAAGGGGAATCCAAAACAGATTTATAGAACTCTTTCTAAATAGTTCCCTCTTCTCTGGAATTTAGCACCTTGACTTCCAGCTACTTCAAGACTCCCTTAACTTCTGTCTCTGTGTTATAATTTAAGCAAAACCACCATGTGGTGCTCTGGATTTCCTTCCCTGCATATGGTCCAAAGTGTGCCTTCAGACAGAAAGCTGGGACAATTATACATTTAAGTTTATAATCTATTTCAAATTAATACTTGTCTATCATATGAAGTTAAGGTCAAGGTTCATTTTCTTCCGGGCAGCCTGGGTGGCTCAGCAGTTTAGTGCTGCCTTCAGCCCAGGGCCTGATCCTGGAGACCCAGGATCGAGCCCCATGTCGGGCTATGTGCATGAAGCCTGCTTCTCCCTCTGCCTGTGTCTCTGCCCCTCTCTCTCTCTCTCTGTGCCTCATGAATAAATAAAATCTTAAAAAAAAATGTTCATTTTCCTTCCAAATAGATATCTAGTTATTTCAGTACCATTTGGTTGAAAAGATGCTCCTTTCTCCATCAAATCATGTGGGTATCTTTATTGCCATATGTATGTGTATGTGTTTGTCTTTGGACTCTGTTGATCGTTATCTGTTTTCACACTAATACTATACTGTGACTCTTGACAAGAATTTATGAAAGATCTAATGAGTGGTTCTGAGATAAATATTTCATTTGGCTTTATTTTTTTTTTAAAGATTTATTTATTTATTCATTCAGAGAGAGCACGAAGAGAGAGGCAGAGACACAGGCAGAGGGAGAAGCAGGCTCCCTGCAGGAAGCCCGATATGGGACTCGATCCTGGGTCTCCAGGATCACACCCCGGGCTGCAGGCGGCGCTAAACCGCTGCGCCACCGGGGCTGCCCTCATTTGGCTTTATAACATTTTGCAAAATAGATTTTGAATTTGAAATACCATGTTTGCACTAATTTGGATGTAATGTTATGTTGTGTCTTTTAATAATTGAATGAAAAAAATAATTGAATGAAAAAATATATTTTAAACATACTTGTCTTACAGAGACCTTTTAATAAAAGTGAAATTTGGAGAGAGCATTGAGGACTTACAGACCTGCCGACTCTTAATTAAACAGTACATCCCGACAGGACTTCTTGTGGATCCATATGAATTGGCTTCATTACAAGAGAGCAACATAACAGAGGTACAACTATTAGAGGATTTTTTTTTTTTTTTGAGAGAGAAATTATTTTAAGAATGCTATAATTTGGATTAAGGAAAAATAATAGGACAACATTTTACTGTTTATTAATTTTGTTAAAGTGTATAAAGTAACTTTTTTTAGGTAGGATGGCTGTTATTCTTTAAAAAGTGAGTGATATGTGTCAGACTTGTTAGTAATAAGCTGACTAAACTGAGCTAGTTAAATACTTTTTGTTAGAATGGTTCCTAGTTTTGTGACTAAGAAAATTATATGTCTTTGAGAAGATTTATGATTAATAAATACTGTTTCAGCAGCATTTAACAGTATTGTTAGAGTGACATATACACTAATATCTATATAATTTGGCTGTGGGAAGAAAGGAGGCTGATATTTATCGGATATCTGTATACCAAATATCTTTTTTTTTTTAAATGAAGCAAGATAAGATTAAGCCTTAGAGAAAGATTAGGTCCCATACCCTTTGCATAGATCAATCTTCATAACAACCCTAGAAGTATTACTTCTCCATTTTATAGATAAGGAAACTGAGGCACAGAGAGGCCAGATAACTTATCCAGGATCACATAGGTAAATGGAAGAGCCAAGAGATAAATCTAGTTTTGTCTAATTGTAAAGTTGTTGCTCTTCCCAGAAATGAATTTTATCCCTTAGTTATAGGGTTCTTTGCCTTTTGGCAAGAATCACTTTGGGCCACTTTGTGTGCAGATTATGTCTTCCTGGGAGAGCTTACTTCAGCAGGTCTAGATTGGACCCAAAAGTCTGTTTTTAACAACTCAGATGATTCCTATTAAATTTTGGGAAACATCATCTTTGTTCATAAGATTATCACCTATATATAAATATAAAAGAGACAAAATACACTTGGAGTCATTTATGATATCAGTTTATTTCTAATTGTGGTTTAGGTCAATTTCTTCACCTGTTTTAATTAGTTACTTATAAGTTTCTTCCTGTGTTCATTTTTTTTGCACATATATAGCAGTTTACATAAATATGTTCACATATGGCAGTCCCAGTACATGTACACATGTGGAAAGACCTCATTGGTTTTTTCCTCATATGTTTCTTTCCTTCACTGAGTCATAAATTCTGAATGAGGCTTTTAAAATTTCAAATAATAGGTTTTATTTATTTATTTATTTTTATATTTATTTATTTATTCATTTATTTATTTATTTATTTATTTATTTTATTTATGATAGGCACACAGTGAGAGAGAGAGGCAGAGACATAGGCAGAGGGAGAAGCAGGCTCCATGCACCGGGAGCCCGATGTGGGATTCGATCCCGGGTCCCCAGGATCGCGCCCTGGGCCAAAGGCAGGCGCCAAACCGCTGCGCCACCCTGGGATCCCAAATAATAGGTTTTAAATTTAAATGCGGTTCTTGCCTTGTATGACATGGATTGGAATTATATTTAAACTTATTTTAATAAAATTGCCTACCATGTTTTAAGAAAATGGAATTTTGGGACGCCTAGGTGCCTCAGCAGTTGAACGTCTGCCTTCAGCTCAGGGCGTGATCCCGAAGTTCCAGGATGGAGTCCTACATCGGGCTCCTTGCAGGGAGCCTGCTTTTCCCTTTGCCTATGTCTCTGCCTCTCTCTCTGTGTCTCTCAGGAATAAATAAATAAAATATTTTTTGTTTTATAAATTCAAATATATATTTAATAAAAGGAATTTTTTGGCATAGGAGTACCCAAAAAGAGATCACATGCCTACTCTTTTGGTAGGATGAGATTGAGGTATGTACAGATTAATTGTAACAAGAAAACTGGGCAGGCAAAGGATGCCACTCTGGATTGATTGACAAGCTTTTATCTATTTCCTAATTTTCTAATCATAATTATAAGCCTCTTAAGTGAATTAACTTTTTTCATTTCAAATTGATGTCTCATTTGTGATACACAGATAATTGGAATTTGATTTCTTGATATTTGAGGTGCTATTTCTGTCTAGCTGAGTTGAGACCGTGGTCTAATTCTTTGTGCAGAGAAACTTTGTCTCAACAAGTGGTATTAAATGATGGGTATGACTGGATAGAAGGAAATTTATATGTAGGGAATGATTGGTACTTATAATTTACATTGAGATCTTGAATATTCCATGAGATAAAATTTTTGACTACAGCAAATAGATCACTGGATTCAAATTAAAGGAGTGATGGTAGCAATAAAATGTTTCGTAAGGAGTTTGTGATGGTTTGTGAGCAATTTGTAAATAAAGACAAGCCTTAAACAGAGGTACCATGAGTAAGGTACTTCAAATGAATCTCCTTGCATTTTTAGGTAGGGCTATTTGATATTTGTATTCAAAATCTGTCACGTTCTTTGAAAACAGCATAATATTAGATTGAAGCATATGAAATTGGTGTTCTATAAGTCAAAATGGAAATACTATGTTTTTGAAATCCTGTTTTACTCAATTAAAATAGGTAGTATTAGGACTTATACCCTGACCAAGTTGGAAGACAGGGACCAGATTTACTATCCCATTTGTAACAACCAAGAAATAGACAAAATATATGAAATAATGGAAAAAAAATAATTGAATATCAGGCAGTGAGGGCAGTGATATCTGGAATAAATGGGAAATAAATAAGGTGAGCTCTATGACTGTCTCAGCTTATTGCTTTGGAGAGTTTTCAGGCTGTAGTACAGGGAACAGGAACCCAAGCAGAGCTTGGTGACCTTCCTGAGTTGAGAAGTTGAAGGTGAAATTCTGGGGAGACCAAGGCCACTAGAATTCACAAGGCAGTGTAGTAAAGAAAAGAAAATTGTACAGAGATAACTCCAGAGATCCATAAAAGGTTCCCCTCAGGTACATAGTCGAGTATTGATTAGTGCATGTATGTGAGGAAAGTACTTGTTGCTGGGGAAAAAAAAACATATGAAAAAATTAGAGGTTGGGCAGCCAAGGTGGCTCAGTGGTTTAGCGCCGCCTTTAGCCCAGGGTGAGATCCTGGAGACCTGGGATTGAGTCCCATGTCAGACTCCCTGCTTGGAGCCTGCTTCTCCCTCTGCCACTGCCTCTGCCTCTCTCTCTCTCTCTCTCTCTCTCTCTCTCTCTCTCTCTCTCTCTTTCTCTGTCAAATAATAAAATCTTTAAAAAAAAAAATAGAATTAGAGGTTACAGTGTCTGACACCCTCACATGGGGCCGGTGGTAGTGTCTGTTCCCGGCAGCCATGCTAAGAAAAGCCTCATAATTCTTTGGGCATTAGGTAAACAGAAGAACTTTTACTCAGTAGTGAATGGTACTGGCCCTAGACTGAAGATCATGGCAGTCCTGTTTGATAAATCTTAAAAGCACGATCTTCAAAAAATCAAGCTGTTTGCAAGTATAAATTTACTGCATACAAGCAAAGATCAAGAATACTTATAGGAGGGATCCCTGGGTGGTGCAGTGGTTTGGCGCCTGCCTTTGGCCCAGGGCGCGATCCTGGAGACCCGGGATCGAATCCCACATCAGGCTTCCGGTGCATGGAGCCTGCTTCTCCCTCTGCCTATGTCTCTGCCTCTCTCTCTCTCTCTGTGTGTGACTATCATAAATAAATTAAAAAAAAAAAAGAATACTTATAGGAATGTAGAAATATCCAGTCCCCAACAAGATCAAGATCACACTTTCTTGATTGTAATAAAAAATTAGATGCAAAGATGGGGGAAAATGTGGCCTGTAAAAAGGAGATAAATGAACCAATCAAAACCAATCCAGAACTGACCCAGATGTTCAGACAAGCCATGAAAACAGTTATTATAACTGTATTCCATATGTTCAAAAAATTAAGTATAGATGTGGAAGGAAGATAAAGGATACCATTAAACTTGTGAAGTTTAAGACTATAGTATATGAGATAGAAAATATTCTGGATAAAATTAATGGCATCTCAAACATTGTAGAAGAAAAGATTAATAGACTTGAAGACACAGGAATAGAAAGTACAAAAAAAATAGTAACATAAAAAGTGAATGAAGTAATAGTTGTGGGACAACTTCAAGTGGCCTACTACACCTGTGATTGAACACTCTTGAAGAGAAATCTCTACCCCTATGTTCCTTGCAGCATTATTCACAATAGACAAACTATGGAAGCAACCTAAGTGTCCATCAACAGATAAGTGGATAAGAAAATATGTATGTGAATATATACAATGGGACGTTATTCACCTATAAAAAAGAAGAAAATCCTGCCATTTGCTATAATACACATGAACCTTGCACTGGTGGTTTTGGCATATATTTAGGAAATCTACTGGCATCCAGACATTGTCCAGATTACCTTCGATTGTCAGAGTATGATGTCCAAAAATGTTTTTCTGTTACTTTATTTATTTATTTGTTTATTTTAGTTTAGTTAGAGCACGTGTGCAGATGAGTGGGTGTGGAAGGCAGAGGGAGAGAGGAGAATCTTTTTTTTTTTTTAATTTTTTTTTTTGTTGTTTATGATAGTCACAGAGAGAGAGAGAGAGAGAGAGAGAGAGAGGGGCAGAGACACAGGCAGAGGGAGAAGCAGGCTCCATGCACCGGGAGCCCAACCTGGGATTCGATCCCGGGTCTCCAGGATCGCGCCCTGGGCCAAAGGCAGGCGCCAAACCGCTGCGCCACCCAGGGATCCCGGAGAGAGGAGAATCTTAAGCGGCTCCACACCTAGTGCAGAGCCCACCACAAGGGTTTATATCAACACCCTGAGATCAAGACCTGAGCTAAATCAAGAGTAGGATATTTAAGGGAGACATCCTGGTGTCCCTTTTTCTGTTGTTTTAAATCTAAATGACATACACACCAGCTGTCTGAGTTTTTTTTTTTTGTTTTTTTTTTTTTAATTTTTTTAATTTTTATTTATTTATGATAGTCACACAGTGAGAGAGAGAGGCAGAGACATAGGCAGAGGGAGAAGCAGGTTCCATGCACCGGGAACCCGACGTGGGATTCGATCCCGGGTCTCCAGGATCGCGCCCCGGGCCAAAGGCAGGCGCCAAACCGCTGCGCCACCCAGGGATCCCCTGTCTGAGTTTTTGATCACATATCAATGATGTACGGACTTGTACAATTTTTCCCTTTTCCTGTTGTAGCTAGGTTTTAAGAAACTCATAGTCAAAACTCAAATAGTTTGTGGATTAGCTTGTGCTGGTTCTTAATTGATCTTTGTTTAAAATGGATTTGAGTCTTTGTTGAAGTTCATGTAAAAAAATGATTCTCATTCTAAAAAATGAGATACGAGTCACATACATGAAATTCACCCTTATGAAATGTACAATTTAGTAGGTGTTTTGTTTTTTTTAGAGATGGGGGAGGGGAGGGACAGAGGGAGAGAATCTTTTTTTTTTTTAATTTTTGTTTTTGTTTTTTTTTAAGATTTTATTTATTCATGAGAGACACAGAACAAGAGAGAAAGAGAGAGAGAGAGAGAGGTAGAGACACAGGCAGAGGGAGAAGCAGGCTCCATGCAGGGAGCCTGACCTGGGACTCGATCCCGGTTCTCCAGGATCACACCCTGGACCGAAGGTGGCGCTAAACCACTGAGACACCCAGGCTGCCCGAGGAAGAGAATCTTAAGCACCCTGTTCCATACCCAGTACAGAGCCAACTCGGGCTCACGACTCTGAGATCATGATCTGAGCCAAAATCAAGAGTCAGACACTTAACCAACTGAGCCACCCAGGTGCCCCTAATGTAGTTGTTTTCAGTATATTCATAAAATTGTACAACAATCATTTGTTGTATTATGTATATGTATATGTTGTATTATGTATAATGATTCTAAAATCATTAATTTTAGAATATTTTTAGTACTTGCAAAGAAACCCATATAGGGCTGATTTTTGAGGTTTAGATGCCCAGTGTATTTGAACCATCACCAAATAATTCATTGACCAGCAGAGCCCTCTCTGAAGGCCAAATTACTATTTCTGTCTGCCTAATTTTCATTATATCCCGGTTTCCTTTTTTTTTTTTTTAAATTTTATTTATTCATTTATTTATGAAAGACACAGATAGAGAGGCAGAGACACAGGCAGAGGGAGAAGCAGGCCCCATCCAGGGAGCCCGATGTGGAACTCGATCCCGGGTCCCCAGGACCACACACCTTGGGTTGAAGGTGGTGCTAAACCGCTAAGCCACTGGGGCTGCCCTAAAGTCTTAATTTTTAGACTCAGCAGTCTAGCGCCGTCTTCAGCCCGGGGAGTGATCCTGGAGACCTGGGATCGAGTCCCACGTCAGGCTCCCTGCATAGAGCCTGCTTCTCCCTATGTCTCTGTCTCTGTCTCCCTCTCCCTCTCTCTCTCTCTGTGTCTTTCATGAATAAGTAAATAAAATATTTTTTAAAAAGTATATATATTTACCTTCTATATATAGATAAATATCTCACAGAAATAAGACTGCTAAAAAACTTAAAAAAAAGGACTGCTAAAAAGCTAATGCAATTTTTGGCTAAAGAAGGATATTACTACTGTGTTCCTTGAGTGTTTCCAAATGTAACTAATATGATAAATGATTTGGAAACTATGTCATAAGAAACCAAGAGACAGGGATGAGCACTGGGTGTTACACTATATATTGGCAAATCGAACTCCAATAATATAAATATAAAAAATATACAAAAAATATATATATATACAAAAACAAAAACCCCAAGAGAACCAGGACTATTTCTCTAAGGGCAAGAAAATTTAGTGGAGATGTTTGAGCGTCTCTTAGTGAAAGAAGGAACAGACTTATTGTAGATACTGTAAATAAGGACAGTTGTGAATATTGTAGGCCAGAGTATTAGATTTCTACTTATAAAAAAGGAATAGGAGAATGCCTGGGTGGTGCATTTGGTTGAGCCTTTGACTCTTGGGTCCACTTAGGTTATAATCTCCAGGATGTGGGATTATGCCCTGCAATGGGCTCCATATTCAGCACCAGGAATGTTTGGTACTTTATTCCTTTCCCTCTGCCCCTCCCCCACCATTCTTTTCTTTCTCTCAGATAAATAAATCTTAAAAAAAGGAAAAAGGAATAACCTTTTAACAGTAGATAAAATGATACGACTCAAAGTAATAACCTCCCTCTTAGTCATTGACAGTGTTCTAGAGTGACTGGATCCTTAAACAATGCCCTCATTGGGACAGTGGTTTAATTTGATCACCTTTAAAGTTTATTATGACTCATAAGGTTATATAACTCCTTGGCCTTTGCCAATGAATTTTTTATGGCCCTTGCCAATGAATATTTTTATTCCTTTGATTAATAGAGAAGGAAAAACATGTGAAAAAATACACCACTTGGTATCACAGGAGAATTGAAATGTTTGGCATTATGGGAAGAAGTTAATTCTTATTTTTTCTTGGAGATATGTCAGGTTTCACATAGAGAATCTAGAGACAGATTGTGTATGTATACCTCTGTACACACACACGTACACACACTCATAGATGATATAGTGCCTGTATATGTGTGTGTAAATACATATAAGTGTGCATGTGTCTATGTGTGTTTATACATAAATATGTGTGAATGATATATAAATATATATACACACATTATAATTTAGGACTAATTTCTGCTGTATATGCATTTTTTACTTTTAGTGTAGAATACCCATTTTTTAAAAAAGATTTTTTTATTCATTTGAGAGAGAGCATGCATGAACAAAAGCAAGCAGCAGGGAGGGACAGAGGGAGAAGGAGAAGCAGACTCCCTGTTGAGCAAGGAGCCCAACAAAGGGCTCAGTCCCAGGACTTTGGGATCATGACTTTGAGCCAAAAGCAGTTAGTTACTTAACCAACTGAGCTACCCAGGTGCCCGTAGAATACCTTTTTTAAAATGGTCTTTACCATATTAATTTTGCAAAGAACCATTTACTATTTTTCTATAAACTTTTTATAGCTAATAGAGGAAGAGTGCTGACCTTTGCTTTGACTTCCTGACCACAGTGCTCTGTCTTACTCACTGCCATCTCTGAAGAACAGGAAATTACCAGAATGATACCAATCATTGCAAACTAATACTAGGTTAACTGTTTTTGTCATAGTTTTCATATTTATTAAATAATGCTCTATATTCACAGAATTTCTCTTTTCATAGTACCTGTTTTGTTACCTAAACAAAAGTTGATAAGAATATTACAAATACATAATTTTTATTATGGAGAAATTTCATACTCTCAAGTACAATTTTCTCAGTTTACTTTTAGTAAACAAACTTTTATTTATTTTTTTTTTAATTTTTATTTATTTATGATAGTCACAGAGAGAGAGAGAGAGAGAGAGAGGCAGAGACATAGGCAGAGGGAGAAGCAGGCTCTATGCACCGGGAGCCCGATGTGGGATTCGATCCCGGGTCTCCAGGATCGCGCCCTGGGCCAAAGGCAGGCACCAAACTGCTGCGCCACCCAGGGATCCCAGTAAACACACTTTTAATAAACACAGATCACATCTTGTGTTTTCTATTTAAAATTGAGGGTAGAATGAAACAAATTATTTGTAAGGATAGTCAATTTGACATTTCTGTTCATTTGTATAGCAGTCTTCTTTTACTTATTAATCTTCCCAATTCATTTCTTCTTCTGGATTAATATCTCTTTTCTTTTTGACAGGCTGTGATGGTTTCGGAAGATTTTAATATAGAAGCTCCCAATTATTTGTCCAAGGAATCTGAAGTTCTAATTTACGCCAGACAAGATTCACAGTGCATTGACTGTTTCCAAGCTTTTTTGCCTGTGCACTACCGCTATCATCGGCCACATAGTAAAGATGGAGAAACCTTTATTGTGGTCAATAACCCTGATTTATTGATGTATTGTGACCAAGGTGAGGGTTGCAAGTCTTTTCTGAGAGTTGAAAATAAAAATATAGGTATGGTGGCAAGTCTGAAGTCCAGGACAGGGATGACAAATGCAAGTTTCTTTTTTCTTTCTTTTTTTAACTTTTTGATTGTAAAATAAACCATAGATAAAGAAAAAACTTCACATATAGTTTGGTAAATTATTATAAGGTAAATACCCTTGTAACTCCCACCCAGGTAAAGAAATAAAACGTTGCCATTCACCCTAGCTGCAGTTCTGTGTGTCCTGTCTAAATCATAACCTCTTCCTTTTCTTTAAGACTAACCCACATCCTGACTTTTAATCACTTATTTCTGTTTCTTTATACTTTTTTCACCCAAGTGGGCATTCTTAGTAAAGCTTTGTCTTCCCCATTTAAAGAAGTGTATTTCCATTGTTTGTTAATTTATAGGTTTCCTCCTCTTACCCTTTGTTTTTTTAAATTCACCTGTCTAGAAACCTGGGTCATTTGACCTATCTAGTTTCTCATAGTTGGAGTTTTGGTGATTGTACTTGTGCTGTTCATCTATATTTCCTGGAAATTGGCTGCTGGCTCCAAAGGTGTGATCGGATTCAGCTTTGATCTTTTTAACAAAACTAGGTGGTGCTGTGTTCTTTTATGACCACCATACAATGGTGTGTTTCTTTTTTTTTGACCATTGATCCTCTGCCCCTGTGCTGCTTCCTGTCTTCATGCTGAATTGCAGGACTTGCAGCTGATGATGTTTTTGTCTCCACTTGCATAGATTTTTGTGTTTGAGGGGATACTTTAACACCTAATTTGGTTATAAATGTTGGCCATGAGTTTTTGATTTCGGGTGTAATTGTTCTGTTTTTCTGTGTGCATTTGAGTAAATTAAAAAAAAACAACAACTATGCTTCCCCATTTTCACTCCTCCTAGAATCAAGACTTTAAGAAGCCCCTTTCAGATTTCGGTTCTTTGTATCTCAAAATTTGGGTTGATTAGAATATTTACAAATCAGTAGCATTAAAGACTGGGAGATAGGAAGTTTTTAATCTTACTTTGCTGTCATCATACATTTCATGATGAAAAAATATAAAATGTTCAATTTTGTTAGATTCGTTCATCCAACCTAGTTTTCTTTCTTTTAATTACTCTAAATAAAGTTTGAGAAAGTGCCTTCTTGGGACGCCTGGGTGTCTCAGCAGATTGAGCATCTGCCTTCCGCTCAGGGTGTGATCCCTGGGGTCCTGGGATCAAGTTCTACATCAGGCTCCCTGCATGGAGCCTGCTTCTCCCTCTGCCTATGTCCTGGCCTCTCTCTGTGTCTCATGAATAAATAAATAAAATCTTTTAAAAAAAAGTGTCCTCTCTTGAGAGAGCCTCTGGGGTTCTGATATTGTTTATTTGTTTTGGTCTGAATGTTCTTTATATGGGTCTGTTTAGTCTGGAAATTTTTTATTTGTGTGCTTAGGACATGTTCATTTTTCTGAATATATGTTAAACTTTAAAAAAAGTTTAAGTTAACATTTTTAAAAAGTAGCTCCTACTAAATGGGATTTGTTAAGAAATCATGCTTAACTTCTGCACAATCTTGGTAGTTTGTAATTTCTTAGGCATCCACTTATAACAGGCTGCTGAAATAAAACAGCATGTGATGGATGGATTCAGGTCACGTACATTGTGTAGCAAAGTGATTACTTATATCTCAACACGAAAGACTCACCCAGCATCTAGTCCAGATACAGGTTTTCTGATATGATGATCTACCACTTTTTCTCAGAATTGCCAATTTTGAAATGCTGGGCTCAGTCACAAGTAGCAGCTCCTTGTACTTTGAAGAATAAGGATATCTGCCAGTGGAACAATATGAAATATAAATCTGTAAGTTAATATTTTATGTTGTTTTTCGATCATACTGCATTATTTAAAACTCATAATGTTTCTTCCACATTTAAGGGATTAGCATTTTATATTCTACCTTTGAAAGTTGTGTTCTATTTGTTTTTAATGTTGTTCCTTTGCTACTAATGGCAACAGTGATTCCTCATTTCTAGAGAATCATAGAGTCATTTAATTTGGGGACTGGAGCTTTTCATGCCTCATTGGTCTAGAGCCTTAGTATAGCTAATACGCTTTTTAAAGGGGTGGCAATGAAAAACACTGGTTTGTCCAGGTTTTACATTATCTAGAAAAATGTTTCGATGGTTGATGTCAAATAAATTACTGCCTATGTTTTCTTCCAGGAGTTTGATGGTTTCATGTCTCACATTTAGGTCTTTAATCCATTTTGGGTTAATTTTTATGTGTAGTATAAGAAAGTGGTCAATTTCATTCTTGGTTCTACTTCATTAATACAGCTTTATTTAGAACTATTTATTAATTTTAAAACAAAATAAATTAGTTGACTTCATTATATTGAACAGAACAAGTGAGAAAAGGAAAATAAAGACTCCCAAGTAGTAGTAATACAACTGTGATAAAGTTTCTACATAGTTGTATTGCTATTTATATATCTAAATTTTTTTAAAATTTATTTATTTATGATAGTCACAGAGAGAGAGAGAGGAAGAGACATAGGCAGAGGGAGAAGCAGGCTCCATGCACCGGGAGCCCGATATGGGATTCGATCCCGGGTCTCCAGGATCGCGCCCTGGGCCAAAGGCAGGCGCCAAACCGCTGCACCACCCAGGGATCCCCGCTATTTATATATCTAAATCCAGGTTGTGGCCTGCCATTTTTATACTTTTGATCTCTAGCCCTGTTTTCAGTTAATAAATTAGGTAAGTATTCTTACTTCATTAACAGTGGCTTTGTCTAAGGAGTGTACAGTTTTCTATTTACCTTCTTTAGTTAACATGGTTGTCTTTGCTCTCTTCAGAGTGGCAAATCTTATACAGCCATCTCTTTTCTTTCTCTCCTTTATCTGTCCTTTCCTTCCTCTTTTTTGAGCTGCATTTTAACTGATAGTTTTAATGTCTGTTTCTCTTTGTCCCTAATTCTAAGGCCTCCTTTCTTTGATTGAATAGCATAATTAGTGTCATAATTTTTACAATTTACTTTTATAAGGAATCAAATTGAGTCTGCAACAAAAGTAAAATACATTTAAAATGTTAATGAAACCAGACAGCCTGTCAGATAAACATAAAGCAGATTTGCTCATACGTGCTATTGGGGATATAATATTTTTCTTGGCGTTGTTTTGAAGTCTGTCTACCAGCTAGCCTAGAAAACAAGTACTTAAGCTAAAGGCTCACTACAAACCACTGCTATTTTGCAGTGGGGAACTCTGAGAAATGACAGTTGGTATGACGTATGACTGTGCTAATATCTTTTGCAATGTAAAGTTGTTTTTGAGTAGATTTCCATTACCAAATGGAACCCAAATCTTTATACTTCTGGAGATTAACATGTGATTTTCTTATTTGAGTGAAGAGTATAATTAGTATTTACGATTTATTAATATACTGGTAGTGTGCATTATGACAAAATAAGTAATTACCTTATTAAAACATTCTGAATTCATTTGTCTTTCTAGACTATGTAACTTGAAATAAGAGGTCATAATTAAGCCCTTTGAAGTATGTGTGTGTGTTAACATTTCTTGTTTATATATATAAACCAGAAAACTACGTGACCATTACTAAAGTAGTGATCTACACTAAGGCTTGTTGGTTTAAGACACTATTTTTTTGAAAGATGAATTTCAGGTTTTGTTACAGATTATGTTGATAAAATTTGTTTTGGATGTAAAATTATACTCCAGATATTTAAAAAAGGAACCAAAAATAAAAGCATTTCTAAGTTACCTAAATTTTAATGTTTTTAAAAACCTATTTTAAACCATAAAATTTTCTAGAGTTTCTAATTGACCCCTTTATTTTCAAAACCAAGGGAAAATAGAGACTAAGTTGAACATAGGAGAACTTGTATTGCTGGGCAGGCCGACAACAACTTTGATGTTTTAACAGTAAAAGACACATTCAGTTCTGTAATTTGTGAATAACAAACTTCTAAAAGCTATTTTGGAGAGAGAAACAGCAAAACAGGAGTGAATGGATGGATACCTTAGCTTTGTTATTGTTTTAATGTTCTTCCTTTAGAGCTTTAACTGAGAGAGAACTCTGTATTCTAATATGAAATATAGTAAAAGGAAGTAAATGTTCATATTGATTACAGAGGTGACAATGGGAGATAGCCAGCATCTGGTAGAAAGTAAAAAAAAAAAAAAAAAAAAAAAGTCTAAACTAATGAGAATTAAAGGATTATTGTGGGAATTAAGTCTGATTGTTACATTAAATGAAATATTGAATCTAAAAGAATAAAAAAAAATCTAAAAGAATCACTCAATAATGTTACATGTGGTGTAGCCTTGGGTCTGGTGTAGCATTGGGTGAAAGATAGTAAAAGAAAAAAATTAAAAATCAAAGAAATAGTGGTCTCACCTCAGGGCATGCATTTTAAATGTCTCTAACATCTCTCTCTCTCTCTTTTTCTCTAGGTATTTAAGAATGTGACTCTACAGGTTCCGGTGGGACTGACTATACATACCTCTTTAGTATGTTCTGTGACTCTGCTTATTACCATCCTGTGTTCTACTTTGATCCTTTTGGCTGTTTTCAAATATGGCCATTTTTCCCTATAAGTTTTATGGAGTTAAATGCTTTCCATAAATCTTTTTTTTTTTTTAACTTTCCATAAATCTAAATAAGACCTGTTTACTTGTGATTAGAAGTGTTCTTTTAGATTTATGTCATTATTTTTGTCTTTTTCTATGGCTAAAATTCTGTCTCCTAGAGGAAATTTTGGACCGATTTTAAACCAATTCCAAAAGTTAGTCCTCTATGTTAGAGACCTTTGATAATCTTCAAGCAAGTGCCAATAGAGGAAACTTAATTTTGTTAAATATTTATTTTGTGAGAAGTGATTTTATCTTAATTTCGGTTACGAAAATGAGTATGTATTAGAGACAAGTTACTCTCATTTTATGAATAGACACATTTTAATTTCAACTAAAAATTGAGAAAATCATTATAAATAAATAAAATATTTTGGATGAATCAGTTTATTTAAACATTAATTGTATGAGAATATTAAAGTTACTCATCCAGAGTGTAAAGAAAGTAAAGTAGAAAAGCTAAGAAATTATTGGGGCAGCCCTGGTGGCGCAGTGGTTTAGCGCCACCGCCTGCAGCCCAGGGCGTGATCCTGGAGACCCTGGTATCGAGTCCCTCATTAGGCTCCCTGCATGGTGCCTGCTTCTGCCTCTGCCTGTGTCTCTGCCTCTCTCTCTAGCTGTGTCTCTATGAATAAATAAATAAAAATCTTTTAAAAAAAAAAAGAAAAGCTAAGAAATTATTAATATCAAGTTTGGTTATTCCTTTTTTTTTTAATTTTATTTATTCATGAGAGACAGAGAGGGAGAGAGAGAGAGAGAGAGGCAGAGACACAGGTAGAGGGAAAAGCAGGCTCCATGCAGGGAGCCCGATGTAGGACTGGATCCTGGCCTCTGGGATCACGGTCTGAATCAAAGGCAGACGCTTAACCGCTAAGCTACTCAGATGTCCCTCTCCTTTTGTATTTTATTATACTCTTTTGAATATATGAATTGGCAAAGGGCTAGATGAAACCAAGTACGAAGAGTTTTGATTTAATACTGAATTTGCCAGGAAGACCATTGAGATTGTCATTTTAGAAGATGTTTTATTAAGTTGTACATTTACAAAAAATATCTTTTTTGTATCTTTTGTTCCATGCCAAATGTGGGGCTTAAACTCATGACCCTGAGATCAGGAGTCCTATGCTCTACCAATTGAGACAGCCAGAGGCCCCTCTTTTTTGTATCTTCAGTGATTTTTTTTTTTAAACAAAAGCTCTTGTTCTACTATTTTTTTTTGGGGGGGGGGGCGGAAACTAGGGGGAAAATTGCCCTTAGCTAATTAAAAAATAAAAAGACAAGAGACACTTGGCTGGCTGAGTCAATGGAGTGTGTGACGCTTGATCTTGGGATTGTGAGTTCGAGCCCCACACTGGGTGTAGAAATTACTAAAAATAAAATCTTGAGGGCAGTCCCCGTGGCGCAGCGGTTTGGCGCCGCCTGGAGCCCGGAGTGTGATCCTGGAGACCCCGGATCGAGTCCCATGTCGGGCTCCCTGCATGGAGCCTGCTTCTCCCTCTGCCTGTGTCTCTGCCTCTCTGTGTCTGTGAATAAATAAATAAAATCTTAAAAAAATAAAAATAAAAATAAAATCTTGAAAAAAATAAAAAGGCAAGCATGTCCTGCTTATTTAGAGCAAAGCATGTTCTAAAATAGAAGTCATTAACCAGGGCATATTGGCAATGTTTGTTTCATAGAGTAATAGAATGATACAGATTTATATATGGTAGCACTGCTTAATTTTCTAAAACATTCTGGTATTTTTATGAGAATAAATCATTTATAATTTGACATGTATGACTTGACTAGTCATAACAGTTCATTTTGAAGGTGTGTTTAAGAAGTTAAAAATTGAAAAAGGCAATCAAATGCCATAAAACAAATATTAGAGATGACTAAAATTTCAAGCCCAGTCTAATTTTATACTTGTTTAATATCTTCTTATAAGAAAGAATTCTATGGGGTTTTTTTTTTACAAGCATTTCTTTCACAATGGGATTAATATTAGTGGCACTGAAATGAAATTATATGTCAGTTACAATTCAATAACATCATGGGACGCCTGGATGGAGGTTGAGCGGCTGCCTTGGGCTCAGGGCTTGAACCTGGAGTTCTGGGATCTAGTTCAACGTCTGGTTCCTGCAGGGAGCCTGCTTCTCTCTCTGCCTCTGTCTCTGCCTGTCTGCATGTCTCTCATGAATAAATAAATAAATCTTTAAAAAAGTAATAAAATTCAGTAACATCAATAGGCAGCATATTAAAGTATGAATAGATGGGAACATGGTACCTCCTAAGAGTATATTGTGGGGAGAGGGCAGAGTATATATATATATGTATATATATATTTTTCTTTTGCATATTGGAACTAAGTTTCATCAGTATTTAAACAAGTTTTCAAGTTAATACTTGAGATGGTGGCTTGGAACATGATTCAGCCATTTACTCATTTATACAGGTATTCAGAAGTGTAATAAAAATGTGAAAAGTGAATGAAGAGTACTAATAAGTGGTTGCAGATGACATCACTTGTTTTTTGACATCACATTTGATAGAACATTTCTGGTTTTGAACTCTATTATTATCTTCTTTGGCTACTTAAAAAATGAGTAAGCACTTTATTTTTTTTTTAAGTAAGCTCTGTGCCCAATGTGAGCTTGAACTCATGACCCCAACATCAAGAGTTGCCTGCTCTACCAACTGAGCCAGCCAGGCACCCCTAAGCACTGTATTTTTAATTTTTAAAAAAGATTTTATTTATGTATTTGAGAGAGCACGTGTGCATGAGTGAGGGGGAGGGGTAGAGGGAGAAGAAGCAGGCTCCCCCGTTTGAGCAGGGAGCCCAACCCAAGGCTTAAGTCCAGAACCCCAGGATCATGAACTGAGCTGAAGGCAGACACTTTATGAATGAGCCACCCAGGCACCCCAAGCACTGTGTTTTTAAAATCAGTTTTGTAATTCTGTGTATGGCTTTTTTGTTTATTTATAATTAAATTTTTTTTTTTTGCTTTTTTTTTTAAAGCCAAGAAAATGGATACTGTCTTCTTGGTCATTTTGTTCCAGTATTTGTTGAATTTTTATGGTGTATTTTCTTAAAGTATTAGGTTTTTTTTTTTTTTTATAAACATAACAGAGACATAGGTTACCTCAATTAAGGGTGATGTTGGAGCAGTGTGTGTGTGTGTGTGTGTGTGTGTGTGTGTGTGTGTATCTAAGCCATTATACCAGGAATTTAGATTATTTAGTTAGCTCTTATGGAATATGGTACATATATAGCTTGGGATTTGGAAGGATCTATTGTGGCTCTAATGATTTCAGAATAGAATGAATTTAAGGACTCTCTATATGAGATACTCTGTTTCAAGTACTCATCTGTATTTTGATAATTGGTGCTTAAAATTTGGAGATAAATTTGGGTGAAGTGACCAACACCTATCTCCATTATCTCCATACTTACAAAATATGCTACTGGCAGGTAGTTAAATACAGGGTTTGGTAGGCTGTGAGACACTGAGATAATATGGATTAGGTATGCTCTTCAGGATTGTCCTAATCAGTGATAGGATGGGTAGGTTTAGCTATTTATCTGATTTCTTACATCTCAGACCTTAATTCTGGACTCAGTCTCCTCCTGAAGTAATATCTTTTTAATGAGTTCCTTTAGTAGGTCTCTTTTTTAATCTTGGTACTTTGAAATCATTTTCCATTGTCAGCTGGCACCCATTGTTGCAGTTAAGAAATCTTTGGAAATCTGTTGTTTCTTTGTAGGGTATATCTTTTCTTTCTAGTTGCGTTATCTATGGTATTTTGCAGTTTCACATTATTGTGTTTGAAAAGATTACTTTTACTTATCCTGGTTGAGCTTCACTTTGCTTCCTGAATCTGAAGGTTCTTTATTCAATTCTGGAAAATTCATGGCTATCATCTTATCATATACTGTCTCTTGTTTTCTCTCTTTTCTGTGTTTTTGCTAGGTATATGGTAGACCTTCACAATCTAACCCCATGTCTCTTGATCTTTCTTTCATGTTTCTTTTCTCTCTGGGCTGCTCTCAGTAATTTCTTTACATATGTCATCAAGTTTACTAATTCTCTCTTCAATGTGTGTTTAACTCAAACATTGGCTTTGGTTGCAATGATTAAATTCTTTGTAAAAGTTCTACTTGGTTACTTCTGAAAGCTGCGTGGTCATTTTTTAAAAGCAGTATCTTGTTTCTTACTCCTGTATTTTGTTTAATCATTTAATCAACCTATTTTATATTCTATAGCTGATAATTCCATTATCTAAAGTTCACAAACTTCATTAATTTGGTTGTGATTTGTATTGATTCATTCATGGTGACTTATTTCCTCAGGTATACTATAATTACATTTTGAGTGCTTATATTTAGATTTTGAAATCCTGTTTGCTTTTGGAAATCCTTTTAGTCCTGGGTTGAGTGAACCTGTGCAGGGAGGATTTGTATTTGTTTCCTCCAGGCCACCAAGTACTACCAGCCTAAGACCACTTTCTTGCCTTGAGGTTTCCTGGACAGTGTAGGTACTATAAATTTGAACCTTAAAACCCATGTGGGTGAAAGCTTGTGGTTATGAATTCTAAAGGGACATTGTTTCCCTCTCCATGCCAAGTCTAGACTAAAACAGACTAATGTTTGGTTGTCTCCCTGGGCTAGTACAGGGGATTTTTCTTTATCCCCCGTCTAGGAGGGCATAGCCCTATGGGTTTCCCAGCCTTGAATAGGCCCAAGGCCTTGTCTTCCGTGCAGCCAGTAAAATCACAGAAATTTCTAAGATAGGTACATACCCTCAGCACAACCATAGCTTCATTATCCTGCTTACCACTCAGGTTTCATGCTGCCTCTTTGGGTTGAGTGTGAAATTTGGAAGACTATCAGAGGTTGGTCTCTTTTCTTTTCTTTTCTTTTCTTTTCTTTTCTTTTCTTTTCTTTTCTTTTCTTTTCTTTTCTTTCTTTTCTTTTCTTTTCTTTTCTTTTCTTTTCTTTTCTTCCTTCCTCCTTTCCTTTCCTTTCCTTTCCTTTCCTTTCCTTTCCTTTCCTTTCCTTTCCCTTTCTCTTTGTTCTCTTCTTTCTCTGTCTCTTTCTTTCTTGAGAGCTTATAGTTATGAATTTGAAAGGATGTTCTATTTTATCCAGTATTTCAGTGTGTTTAGTAATGGGACTGCTTTTCAGGTTATCTAATTAATAATGTGCCATATTAGTCTTTGATTCCTTTCTCTCTGCATCAACTGGGTTTTTATTCTACATCTATAGATAAGCACAATCTAGCTACCTTTCTCCATGTCCACTATCTCCTTAGTATCAGTCATGACTACTGCCTTTCTAGTTCATTTCCCTTCTATTCTTGCATCTGTATACTACATTTTCCACCAAGCAATCTATTGATCTTAAAGTATAAGGAATAACTTCACTTTCCTGCTTGAAACGCTGTAATAGTCCAAACTTGTTAGCATGGCATTCAAGATCCTCCTTGAACTGAATCTTGTCTACTCTAGTGTTTTTTTCACAGTACACTACTCTTGCACCGAGCTCAAGCTGCACAGTTCGTCTTAACTGATCATAGCAAGCAAGCCCTTTTCTTCTTCCTTCTGTCTGTAATGCTATCTCCTAGGAGTGTCTCCTGTCTCTCTCCTGTTCTCATCTTAAATGTTGCCTCCCGGGGATCCCTGGGTGGCGCAGCAGTTTAGCGAGTGCCTTTGGCCCAGGGCGCGATCCTGGAGACCATGGATCGAATCCCACGTCAGGCTCCCGGTGCATGGAGCCTGCTTCTCCCTCTGCCTGTGTCTCTGCCTCTCTCTCTCTCTCTCTCTCTCTCTCTGTGTGACTATCATAAATAAATAAATAAATAAATAAATAAATAAATAAATAAATAAAATTAAAAAAAAATTTAAATGTTGCCTCCCTAAAGATTCTTTCTCTGGCCACCCAATCCAAAATAATCTCCCCAGTTATCTTCTCATACCAGATATCATTAGTTTAATTATTGTGCTTGCATATTTCTAAGCTCTACAAAGGCAAAGTGACTCATGTTCACCCTGTATCCTTGATGCCTGAATATCATACATTTTAGATGCTCACATGTTTGTAGAATTAGTGAATACATTAATGAACTCCTCCTTCGATAAAACATGAAGGCCGGGCAGCCCGGGTGGCTCAGCTGGTTTGGCGCTGCTTTCGGCCCAGGGCGTGGTCCTGGAGTCCCGGGATCGAGTCCCATGTCGGGCTCCCTGCATGGAGCCTGCTTCTCCCTCTGCCTGTGTCTCTGCCTCTCTCTGTGTCTGTCATGAATAAATAAATTTATTTTTTATTTTTTTATTTTTATTTTAATTTATGATAGTCACACACACACACAGAGAGAGAGAGGCAGAGACACAGGCAGAGGGAGAAGCAGGCTCCACGCACTGGGAGCCTGATGTGGGATTCGATCCTGGGTCTCCAGGATCGCGCCCTGGGCCAAAGGCATGCGCCAAACCGCTGCGCCACCCAGGGATCCCTGAATAAAGAAATTCTTTTTTTTTTTTGAATAAATAAATTCTTAAAAAAAAATGAAGTCCTTAATTTTCAAGGAGGTGGGATTTTAGCAGCAAAACATAGTAAGAGCTTGTAAATAAAATGCAAAATGGATAAGGGATGAATTTCCAGAAATAAGAGTCCTGAAACAGATTCACATAGTGTGTGGGTCAGCGTCTTTGGCGCAGACCTGAAAGGAGACAACGCTAAATTAAATGAGGGGCTGATTCTCTTTTTCAATTTAAAGGACACCGCCCCCCCCCGCCACGCCCACCGCCGCCAAGAAGAAAAAAAGAGCGCGAGGGAAAGGGAGGCGAACGGGCTGCGCGTCCAAACTACAACTCCCGGCAGCCCCCGCGCGAGCCCCCGGCCGCGAGGGGCGGCTCTCCGCCCCTGGAGCTCCGGGCCCGACCGGCGAGGGGCGGTGTCCTGGCCCCGCCCCCGCCCCGCCCGCCCCCCGCCGGCGCCCTCCCCCAGGCTGGCCACGCGCGGCGGCGGCGGCTGTTCCGCTTCCCCTCCGGCCCGGCCCGTCGCCATTGCCGAAGGCTCTCTGCCTCCCCGCCCGGCGCCCGGGGGCTCGGCTGCCGCCCGGCCTACGCTCGCCGCGGCCGCGCTCCTGCGCCGCCTGGCCTCCCCGCCCGCCCCGCGCCGGCGCTTGCCCGGGGCGGCTCCGGAGCCCGCCGGGAGTTCGGACGCGGCGCCTCGCTGGGCGGGGACCTCTCGGCGCCCGGGTAAGTGCAGGGCGGCCGGGGCGCGCTCCCCGTCCTCCGCGGCTCGCCAGCGGCCGCCACCTGCGCGCCCGGAGCCGCGGGCCTGGGGCGGCGGCTCATTGTCTGCTCCCGAGGGCGGTTTCGCTCGGCGGCAGCCGGTGGGGGAAGCTCGCTGGGCAGGCGCGGCCCGGCTCCTCTGGCCCCGGCCCTGCCCGCTCGCGGGCGCCCTCCCGCCGCCGCGCACCTCGGCGTCCCCGTCAGGTCTCGGGGTTCCGGGCCTCGGCGTGTGCGCGTCGGTGGGGACGCCTCGTTGTCGGAGCGCGTGAGGGCCTCGCCGGACACCCGGGCCTCCGGATCCCCAGCGGCTCTCGGTAATCTGGGTCAAGGTTGGCCCTTCCCCGCGCTTGCCTTCCTTCAAAACAACACACACACTCGCGACGTGGCCGCGGAGCCGTCGGCGGGCGCGACCTTTTGACCGCGTCCCTCAGCTGCAGTCGCCCCCGCGGGCCCTCCTCGCGCCTTCGCTTCAGCCCGCCGCGCCGTCGCTTTCCGCCTGCGTAGGTCCTGCCGGCTCCCGTCGGTGTGGCTGCTCGGGTTCCCCTCCGCGCGTTACCTGCACTCGTTTTCTTTTTAGCCTCTTGGCGAAAACGCATCCGAACGGTTAGGCCTAAAATTAGACCACGGCGAGCCGTGTTTTGGACCGAGGTTGTGCGCGTCACGTTTCTTCCCCTGCTCTGTCGGGCTCTTCCGCCCTTAGAAGGAGGCAGGATATGGAGGTGTACGAGGATCCGCTCGGGGGTTTTGTTTTCGTGGGGTCACCCGGAAGAATTACGTTCAGTGAAATTAGATTGGGGTGAAGGCAGTGAGTAGTCATTTTTTTTTTTTTAAGATTTTACTTATTTATTCATGAGAGACACACAGGGGCAGAGAGAAACGCTGAGGGAGAAGCAGGCTCCACGCAGGGAGCCCGACGTGGGACCCGATCCCAGGACCCCGGGGTCACGCCCTGGGCTGAAGGCGGCGCTAAACCGCCGAGCCACCCGGGGCTGCCCTGAGTGGTGATTTTTAAAGCAGGTTAGAACTTGTCGACTTTGCCAGAAGCTCTGTGGCATTTCTAAAACACACACTTAACTTTTTTTTTTTATTAAAGATTTTTATTTATTCATGACAGAGAGAGAGAGAAAGGCAGAAGGAGAAGCAGGCTCCACGCAAAGAGCCCCATACGGGACTCGATCCCAGGACCCCGGGATCACGCCCCTAGCCAAAGGCTGGTGACGCTCAACCGCCGAGCCACCCAGGCGTCCCGTAACTTCTAAATGACTTTTATGTATATGCGGAAAATCTGTATACGCGTAGACCTATGAATTTGAAAGCTTTGTTCGTGTTCTGTTAGTATGGGGTCTTGATTTAAGGCAGCTCTTTCATCCTTGGCTTTTAGGCCTTTCTAGCTATCACTTAGCCAAGAATACTGACTTCCCGTATGAAAAATGAACCTTAAAATGTTTTTGAGCTGTGATATATGTAGACCCTAAGCCCACTTCAGGGTTTGGTAAAGAGGTTGATCTACATTCAGGGAATTTTGTTTTCACTGGATCCTCCCAACTTTCCCTAAGTGACTGAGTACTGAGCTGTATGCATTTGACGGTGTCATTTCTCCTTAACTTGAGAGGTGTTGTGGGCCACAGGGGCTAAGGTATGGAAATGTTGGAGTGTGAAATTCGGTCTGTTGATGTCAGTTTCTCTGTCGGTTCTTCAACAAGGGGGTGGTACTTTTACCAAGGAAGAGTTACTGGATATTCCTCTTCACATAGGGATTTGATTCCTGGTTTACCATTATTCAAAAAGAGAGTTATTCTTTTGGACTTTGTGACACTTAATACTAACCTTGCAAACCCCAAATCATAAAGGACCAATAAGTTTGTACTGGGGGTGTATCTGCCAAACAAATGAATAGGGGTTCCTGTGGTTCTCTGATCTTTATGATAGGCAGTTTTCCAAATAGGCATGGTTAACAGTGGTGTGTATTTCTTCTTAATTATACTTTAAAAAAAAAAAAGTAGAACTGGCTCAGGTAGCTAAGGGTAAACTTTCGATTATACTTTTTAATAAAGAGAACTTGTTCAAATAAAGTAAGTAGGCACTTTAAAATCCTTCCTGTGTTTCTTCTGTCAATATCGATTATTCTGCTATTCGAGTATAATGTTTTTTTGACTTATTGAAATTTCTCCTTTTCATTTAAACTTGAAACTAAGCCCTGTTCAGTGCTTTAAGGCTTCAGGATTCTGATCAGTTTGTTTTCAAAGGCCCTTCCAGTTAGTTAGAGGGCTAATTCCAGACTAGTCAGAAGGTGGGTAAGTTACTTGCAAATCTGAGTTGTCACTTGTATCCTTGTACCAGGGTAGAAACAGAAAGAGAAGGAAAAATAGCCCCCCTTGCCCTGAAGAAAATACTGATTGTTTCCTTCTGTGATCAGAATTTTCACTAGTTCTTCATTTTAGGATCACTAACCTACTTAAGGATAGTCCTTCTGAACATTCATGTAGGATTTCAGAGTTCTAGCCTATTATTATCTCCGAGGTACAATAGTACTTACCATTCCATGTGTCTCAAATGGTTAGGTGCTGGGGACCTGGGTTTGAATCATTACTCTCTACTTGACCCTGGGTAAGACATGTACTCTTTTCAAGACTTGGTTTTCTTCTGTTAAAGGGGGATTGATGATGATGATGATGATGATGATGATGATGATAATAATATACAAATTTCATGGGGCTATTTAAAAGCAAATGAGATAATGCAGGTAAATTTTTTTTGCAAATGCAGTGCTTAGTTACTATTCCATTCTGAAGTAGGTTTTATATTTAATTGCTCCTTTTTTTTTCATCCCCCAAGCTTTATTTATTTATTCATGAGAGACACATAGAGAGGCAGAGACACAGGCAGAGGGAGAAGCAGGCTCCCTGTGAGGAGCCGGACGTGGGACTTGATCCCAGGACCCCGTGATCACCAAGAGAGCTGAAGGTAGACACTCAACCACTAAACCACCCAGGTGCCCCTTCATTGCTTTTGTAGCAAATATTGTGCTCCCAAACTTAGATTTAAGAATGCTTTCTGGGGGGATCCCTGGGTGGCGCAGAGGTTTGGCGCCTGCCTTTGGCCCAGGGCGCATCCTGGAGACCCGGGATCGAATCCCACGTCAGGCTCCCGGTGCATGGAGCCTGCTTCTCCCTCTGCCTATGTCTCTGCCTCTCTCTATATATATATATGACTATCATAAATAAAAAAAAAAAAAAAAAAAAGAATGCTTTCTGGAATGAGCACTGGGTGTTATATGTTGGCAAATTGAGCTTCAATAAAAATGTATATAAGAAAAAAACAATGCTTTCTGGAGAGGTTGGAATCTCAGGACCAATTTTCTGAGACCATAACTGTTTAATTAAAAATTACTTTTCAGGGGAAAAAAAGTTTTGCCCCTGATATAAAATGCAAGTTTTTCAAATTTTAAAAAATATGCAGGGACACCTGGGCGGCTCAGTGGTTGAGCGTCTGCCTTTGGGTCAGGTTGTGATCCCAGGATCCTGGGATCAAGTCCCGCATCGGGCTCCTGCAGGGAGCCTGCTTCTCCCTCTGTCTGTGTCCCTGCCTCTCTCTGTGTGTCTCATGAATAAATAAATAAAATCTTTTTTTTTTTAAGATTTATTTATTTATTTATTTATTTATTTATTTATTTATTTATTTATTTATCACAGACAGAGAGAGAGGCAGAGACACAGACAGAGGGAGGAGCAGGCTCCATGCTGGGAGCCCGATGTGGGATTCGATCCCGGGTCTCCAGGATCGCGCCCTGGGCCAAAGGCAGGCGCCAAACCACTGAGCCACCCCGGGATCCCCAAATAAATAAAATCTTAAAAAAAAAAAAAAAAGTATGCATATCTCTCATAGAAAAATTGGAACGTAGCGAAGATTATTAAGAAACAGGATGAAAATCACTTTTGCCTCAGCTCTAAGAGGTAACAGACTAAAATTTTTTTCCTTATTTTTAAATCCCAAGGTAGCACATGCTTATAAAAGGTTCAAGCAACTCTATTATTTAGAACAAAAAAGTGAAAATTCCTCTTTCCTCACTTTCTAGAACCATTCCTTAGAGGTTCCCTCTGTTAACAATTTTGTTGTCTTAATGCAATTCAAAATAAGCACTGTGTGTGTGGTTTTAACCAATTTTTAAAAATAAAAGATCTGATTATTACATATTCTTTTCTATTTCAATACATATAGTTGCACTTCATCTTTTTAACCGTTATGATATAGCCCATTGTACTTTATTTAATTATTCATGGTTATTTATGTTAGAGTAATCCCCCCTTATTCACAGGGAATATGTTCCAAGACCTCCAGTGGATGCTTGATGCCTCAGATAGACTGAAGCCCATATATACTGTATTTTTTCCTACATGTACATACCTGTGATAAGGTTTAGTTTATAAATTAGGCACAGTAAGAGATTAACAACAATAAGTGATAATAAAATAGAACAGTTATAACAATATGCTATAAAGTTATATGAATGTGGTTGATCTCAAAATATCTCATTAGACTGTACTCACATTTCTTGTGATTATGTGAGATGATAAAATGCCTACATGATGAGATGAAGTGAGGTGAATGATGGAGGCAGTGTGATATATCAGTAGCTTACTATTGACCTTCTGACGATAGCTCAGAAGTGGAATCTAGGATGGCAGTTGACTGCTGGTGACTGAAACTACAGAAAGGGAAACCATGGGAAGATGAGACTAATGTACAGATCTTCACCAGCTTATAAGGGAGTTTTGTCCTGACAAATCCATTATTAAGTTGAAATGGCATTAAGTCGAAGCATTACCACTTACCTAGCCTACCTTAAAAGTGCTCAGAATACTTAGGTTAGCCTCCAGTTCAGCAGAACCCTCTAACAATACCTATATTAAAGTGTTGAATATCTCATGTACTTTATTGAATAATGTACTGAAAATGAAAAGTAG